TGGAGCGCATTCAGTCCAAGATTGAAGGCAAGGGCAACGGCATCAAGACCGTCATCGTCAACCTGAGCAGCGTCGCTCAGTCCCTCGCCCGCCCGCCCGCTCACGTCATCAAGTACTTTGGCTTCGAGCTGGGCGCCCAGACCAACACGAGCCCCAACGACGACCGTTGGATCATCAACGGCGCCCACGACGCCAGCAAGCTCCAGGACTACCTCGACGGTTTCATCTCCAAGTTCGTCCTCTGCAAGAAGTGCAAGAACCCCGAGACCGACGTGCACATCAAAGATGGCAACATCACGCTCGACTGCAAGGCTTGCGGAAAGATTTCCGACGTAGACCCCCGCCTCAAGCTCAGCTCCTTCATCCTGAAGAACGAACCCAAGAAGGGCAAGAAGGACAAGTCCAGCAAGAAGGCTGAGCGCCGTGCCCGCAAGGAGGCTGAAGCCCGCGGCGAGGCTACCTCCCCCGACGGCGGCAGTCCCGGCGACAGCGCTGAGGAGAACGGTGACGATGGTGACATGGCACTCGAGGCCGGCAGCGACGACGAGCTGACCCGCCAGATCAACGAGGGCGCCAAGGAGATTGACGAGGAGGATGCCAAGGAAGTTGAGTGGTCCATCGACACCTCGGAGGCCGCCATCAGGGCTCGTGCCCAGGACCTTCCCGACGACCTCAAGCGTGCCCTTGTCATTGAGGATGACGACGAGGGCGGCTCCAGCTACGACACTTTCGGCAAGTGGATCATCGACACTGGCGCGGAGAAGGGCGGTGTTGAGAAGCTTGACAACGTCGACATCTACGTCAAGGCCAAGGAGCTCGGCATCGAAACCAAGCACCGCACGCTTACCGTCATTCCCCAGACCCTCTTTACCGAGAAGATCGTCAAGCAGATGGATGGCCGTGCTCCCATGCTCAAGAAGATGATTACCTCGGACAAGCATGAGAAGGCTTTCCTTGGTGGCATTGAGCGCTTTGTCGGCAACGACAAGCCCGAGCTCATCCCTCAGGTCTCGGCCATCCTGTTGAAGGTGTACGAGAACGACCTCGTCTCGGAAGACCAGCTCAAGGGCTGGTGCTCCAAGGCCAGCAAAAAGTATGTCGACCTCAAGGTCAGCAAGTCTGTCCGCAAGTCGGCCGAGCAGTTCAAGGAGTGGCTGGAGAATGCGGACAGCGACGACGAGGATTCCGAGTAGAACCTCGACTGCAGCGACACGTGCATGGTAATAGTACGCGGAATGTCCAACTGTTGTCAGTCATTACCTTTGGTCTTGCTTGTCTTGTTTTGATTTGTTTTAGACGGCGTGTAGGTAACTCTACTCCTGTTTCCGACACGTTTGGGCCAGTCGCGATGACAGCCTCGTATTCTTCTCCCCTCTAGATAGCCTACTAAAGAAACTTTGCTCTCGCACCACCTCGCTTCAGTGACCTGCATTGCTCTACACGAGCCCCACTTGCCGTTCGCTGTTATCATCTCCTTCCACCAGGTGCTCGGGCCCATCACTACTATGCGCCCGAAGTTTCTGCATGCACTGTGGCGAGCGCATTGGATTTGTGACAGTAGTTCCATCCGGGCTCGTGGATGCAGCTGCATGCCCCACCCCAATGATCGATCTTCGCTAAAGCCATGCAATCTCACCACGTAGTCTTGCCTCCGGTCCATTCACGATCAAATCCCTCAGCCTTTTTCACATTCAGCATGCACGATAACGCACGAAAAAGCAACATCGGGATTCGCCTAGTCTCAGCACGCGTGCATCGACATGCTCTCGCACCGGCCATCTCCACAAGGGTACATTAGTCTCCGAGGCTTAACCCCACCCAGGCAAGAACAAGCGGAGCTCCCATGCTCTGGACAGCAGGCCATGCACACTTTTTTCACCACCGCGCATGGTGGCCGGAGCGAGGGACGCGACTGGCGAGAACGAACGAGGGCAGCCCTCGTTGTTTAAAATGTGGCGGACCCCCACTTGGGGGATGAGTTGCAACCTCTCGCAGCCGCCAAATCGTACGCAACTGTACACCACCGTGAGCGACTTCTGGAGTTTTGCGCTCACGTCAATTGCGAAAAGCTCCACTTCACCACGCCGAGTCTCACGATCTTGCCGACAGGCTTTCGATAGCAGTGTCAAGCCTGTGCGCTCAGTTCCCGCGCTTTCGAATCCTCCAGGATCAAGAGAGGGGTCATGAATCCGATTCAAGCTTACCCTGCTGATGGCGTGGTCGTTCAAGATGCGCATCACGGTCATTACGCGCCCGAGGCAGCTCATGACAAAACCGGTGCTGGCACATATGTGACATCTGAGAATGAGTCGCATAACGGTGCGGCCGGGAATGAGGTTCTAGAACGCGATGCGCAGACCAAAGGACGCTGGTTCCAATACCTCAAGACGAAACAATTCTGGATCACGTTGGTCCTTGGGCAGGGTATGCACCAAACACACCATTTTCGGATGTTCGAAATGTAGACTGACAAGGTATCACTTCCAGTCCTCGCTCTCTGCATCACCGGTACAAATACATTATCGTCTCTGCTCGCGGAAGAGGGTACATCGATACCCGCCTTCCAGTCCTTCTTCAACTACGTCCTCCTCAACATAATCTACACATCGTATACCCTCTACAAGTACGGCTTCAAGAAATGGGGACGAGTCGTCATAAAAGACGGCTGGCGGTTCTTTATCCTCGCCTTCATGGATGTCGAGGGCAACTACTTCATCGTTCTGGCCTATCGTTACGTAGGTTCCTGTCCATTCTCTCGCGTAGACTTGCATGCTGACACACGACTAGACTACCATCCTTAGCGCCCAATTGATCAACTTCTGGGCTATCGCCGTTGTCGTAATAATTTCCTTCTTCTTCCTCAAAGTCCGCTACCACTACACGCAAATGTTCGGCATCCTTCTGTGCATCGGCGGTCTAGGCGTAATCTTCGGCTCCGATCACATCACCGGTACCAACAACTTTGGCGCTACGGACCAAGTCAAAGGCGATCTTTTTGCGCTTCTAGGCGCCACTTTCTACGGTCTGTCCAACGTATTTGAAGAGTGGTTGGTTTCCGAACGGCCGCTGTATGAGGTTGTTGGCCAACTTGCTTTCTGGGGCATGTTCATCAACGGTACGCAAGCGGGTATCTTCGACCGCGCCGCCTTCCGCAGTGCGACTTGGAACGCCAAGGTTGGAGGCTACCTCACCGGATACACACTCATCCTTTCGCTCTTCTACTCCCTTGCACCGGTCCTGTTCCGTCTCAGCTCCGCTGCATTTTTCAACATCTCCCTTCTCACAGGAAGCTTCTGGGGTGTGGCGATTGGCGTCAAGGTCTTCGGACTGAACATTCACTGGATGTACCCCATCGCCTTTGTCCTCATTATTATTGGCCAGGTTATCTACTTTCTGCGACAGAGTATGGTCGGTGAGGCGTTGAAGCCATGGTTGGGCAAGGATCAGGAAAGAGGCCATGCAGGTGTGGGTACGGCGAAGAAGAGGGTCGAGAGGCCTGAGGCTATTGTCTAGGAGTAGATTCCATGACGACAACGCCAAAGGGATGATGTCGGCATTGCTCATAAGATCAACTAAACTTACGAACCCTAATGAAAGACTCCGATAGCAAATGCTGGTCTTCTTAGTCGTCTCCATCGGCGAAGAAGACATGTAAATTCAATATCTCAACCGATCTAGCAGCTACGAGATGGGCATCCTCCGTCCAGACCACCTTCGTCTATCAGCCCATCCTATCGACCAGTTGCGATGCGCAGTGAAACATTCCGTTGTGATGACGAAGTAGCCGTGGCTCAATTGCGCCGCACACTTGACCCTGAGGTTCTGCTCATGATCCCTTGATGTCGTAGCTCCAATCGGGTATAATTGGTGCAAAGAGCCTATTCGGAATACGAATAGAAGCCAGCCGTTGCTTGAGGTTGGGTAGCAAGTCATATAGGCCAGATGAAAATGCGTATGAGTTATTAACGAAACTCGCTCTTCTACCGTATGATTAGAAGCTCGTGCGTGAGGGAGATGCTAAGCCACCGCGCTTCTCAACAACGACCAGTTTTCCTTTCTCACAAGTCCAAGAACTCGCCAATCTCTCTTTCTGCCGATTGGAAAAGCCGGAACCTGATCTCAACAATGAGAGAAAGGAAGACGCCAGCCTCGACCCAGAATGCAAAAGTCGCAAAGTTCTTCCATGCAGTCCAACAAACGACATACGCGGTTGTCACGCCGAAGCCAGCAATAGCTGCGCTTGCAATCGGGGTTGTTGGTAACCAGCCCTTGTCCGAAGCTGTCAAGATGAGATAACTGACTGCGAATGCTTCTAGCGGCAAAAACGCCATGACGAGGCACGTGAAGTCGTCGTTGACTGGTAACGAGGGTGACACGTAGGCAATGGCGCCTGTTATGATCCAGCAGGCTAGATTTCCTGTAAATGCAAGAAGAATGGTACCGGCAGTCGGTTTGTGTGGAGATTCGTGTATGCGATGCGTTTGAGATCCGGCTGCGCCGTCTGCCTTGGTTGTAGTTGGAGGGCCTGCAACTTTTACATTGCTCATGGTGACGGAAAATGGTGAACTGTTTCTTTGAGAGGTTACGCTTGAATTTGCTTTACAGCGATTCGTTTTACGGTCTTTGGGACTTTCTTGGTTTGAATTTGCATGTAAGATGACGAACGCCAGGCCGTCACGTTCGTCTGGGTCGGATCGCACGGCATATCAGCAAATCAAAGGCATCGTTCTTCAATCTCAGATTCTTGAATTCGGCCTCTGAGTAATGTCACATGTGCACGAACACATTTAGTGACTGTACTGCGTTTGCGTGGAGCAGAGGCAGTTGAAGCTCTTGCCTAGGTAGTATTCGTTACTAGCCTGTCTTGGCTGACGCCACTTATCACCTGCACCAGCCACTTTCCAACCTTACTTCATCTATACTCTTCCTCAGCAAGCATTAAACCATCCTGCTCTATCCGTGGCAGCTCTCAACCTAAATATATACAAATCTCGCAGATCATGTCTTCGCGCGGTCTTCCCGACGTCTTGATGCAAAAGGTCGACGATTATGTCGATTCGCTGGCGCCCCAGATCCAGCCCCGCATCGCCTCCGAACTTGAAGTCTTCCAACAAAAGACTATCGACAGCCTGGAAACCCAGGTCGTAGACGCTTTTCGTTCATTGTTCGGTAAAGACAGGCCGTCTTCGTCGGATGGCAGCCGATCGGGCCCTTGGAATCTCAATGACGCAGCACCCGACGCCTATGGTGGACAGTCATTGCCTTTTGCGGATGAAATCGCCAAGTTGACGCGTAGCTTCGGTCAGATTTCTGATGAAGCGGGCGGGGATTTGCGCGATATATTCGATCTTACGGAGGGGAACCGAGGAGGCCCAGAGCAGTCTCGATCTGTAGACGGGGATTTCTCGTCTGGAGCTCGAGGTTTCCTTTCATCGGCTCTGAATGTCGTGCAAGATCATTTCGACGAAAGAGGGTCAAAGGGTGGTCAGTCCTTTGAGATTGGGGGTCTTCTCGGTATGATCAGTAGCACAATCAAGGACGCATCTCAGAACCCCGAGGAGAAGGCGAGACTTATCAGCCCAGAGATCAAGCAGACAGTTGGTGACAAGTTACGTCAACAGCACGCGCCTCTCGCTGAGCAGTTCACCCGCATAGCTCTGGAACACATCAAGCGCTGGCTTCGTGGAAACACAAGCACGCGCGACTTGGGTGATGGTGCGAAAGCCGAGATTGCCGAACAGGTGGGCGACCTGGTGAAGGGCCTTGGAAATTTGTTCGGGAGCAAAAAGAGCAGCAATGAGGAGACATCGAGAGGCTTTGATGACTCTGGTCGTGATGGCGAGAGCAGTAGTGGTGGAGGCTTCTCCCGCGTCATCAGTGACAAGCTCAGCACGGGTCTCGCCAAAGTCCACCGAGAAGTGAGTAATATCACTGTACAAAATTTGTGTGGGAAAGATACTGACACGGCACACTCATCTTTAGGTTCGGTTAGAGTTCCGCAAGATCCTCGGAGCAATCGAGAAACAACTGTTCGAATTGTTACCTGATCAATTCCAACGTCCGCTCGAGAAGATACTAGGTGGAAATCCTTTCGATTCACAGCTCGACCGCGACGCGTCCGGTCCAGCAGATCGCGGGTTTGGAGATGACATCAAGTCCAAATTGCTCTCCAAGATCCGTGCTTTGGTACAAAAAGTACAAGAGACACTTCGAGAAAGCATACTGGGTGTAGTCAATGGTGGTCATCGCAAGTTTGAGCGTCAGAGCTGGGTCTTCGTGCAGGGCATGGTAGAACAGAAAGTACAAAGGTACCTGCCAGACGTCAAGATCAACGTCCCAGACGATATCGGAAACGAGAACGTAAGCGTCGGATCCCCGACTGCGAACACAAGCATGGGGGGAGGTTACCAACCTCCGTCACAACCGCCACACGGTGACCATCGTCCGCCCCCCACGTCTGGCAGTTACAGTGGACAGGAACATGTGCCGCAGGGATACAACAACCCCCCACAGTACCAGAGCCATGATCAATACCGAGAGGAGCCTAGACGCGAGTACCAAGATCACCAGGCGTCACAATACCCACCGCCTCAAGACTATCGACCCGAGCATCACGGGCCACGTCATGAAGGCTATGCTCCTCAGCAATATCAACCACCTCAACATCACCGCCCTGAATCATATCCATCTCAGGACTACCGATCTGAGCACCATGCCCCACCCACACAGGGTTACCATCAAGGACCTCCAGACTATCGTTCGGAGCAGTACCCACCATCACAACAAGGCTACCCTCAACAAGAGTATTCTCAGCGTGACTACCGCGGTGACGGGTATCGGAGGCAGGACTATTAAAAGAGTCGCGTAGGGGCACTAACCATGTCAAGCGTGCAAGGTACAGGTGTCAGCTTGCGCGACTTCTTCCACAACCATACCTACGATTAAATAGCAATCAATTATAAAGCCATCGATGACTTCCCGTCCGTAGTTCTTAGGCAGATGTATGTAAGCGTAAGATGCATGACTAGGACTGCAAAATCTTTTCGATAATCGTAAAAGCCGAACTCCGGCTGAAGATTCCTGGATTACGTCGCAGATACGACTACTATAATAACTAAGCGCTACTGACAACTCCATAAATGCAGGCCCAAAGAGATCCGTGGTATCATATATCTGTTCCTCCCAACAATCCGTACGCCTGAATGATCCGTCCCTTGTAGTCCCCTTATGAGGACGATGATGCAGAATCTTCAGCAGAGGGCGAAAGCGAGGCTCCACCGGCCCGAAGAGCTTTCAGCGCAACGTCAACTTCAGTGGTCGCCATCTTCTGCCATTTCTCCCGCGTGTCTTGATCCGCCAACGCATCAGCACCAGCTTCACCAACCTTTTCGTATAGCAAACGTGATACGTCGCGATTGACGTCGGTATACTCCTGTTTCGTGACTTCTTTCTTCAGGTAAATGGGTTTTAACACAGCTGTAACCATGCGCTGCAGTTCGGCTTTGGTAGAATACGAGAGGGTCGGCCGGCTAGGCGACGAGTCCTTCGAGCGAGGGGGGCTGCTGAGGCCGACAGAGCGATGCGCGAGTGTGCGACGTCCGGGGCGGTCGTCGTCTGCAGGGGAATACGGCGAGTAGGTTGGCGACAATTGCTGGTCCTGTTGTACAGGTGATGTGGTGCGAGTAAGATTAAGAGGCGGCGGTGTGGACATGCCGGGAGGTTTCTGGTAGACCGGCGACAGACCTGGGGAGGAATGTTGGGGAGAACAAGCGCGCTCCACGATGATGCGCCGGGGCTGTGGGGCGGCGATCTCCTTGTCGCGCTCGGCAAACCGGTCGACCTCGACCTCCTGAAGCAACGATTGCAGAAAACCAGGCGCGGGAGTTGAACTCTCACCGGTTGGAACTGCAGGGGGCGATGATGCAGCAGCAGGAGCGTGCGTGCTAGCCACTGTGTTGCGGCGTGCGGCTGCCGACGATGACTCTCCGTTGTCCAGGTGCATACGGGTTCGAGGGCGCTTGAGCTTGCGTTCTGGCTTCTGCTCGCGAGGCTCAGAATCGGCAGGGGAGGAGTCGATGGACTTGCGTTTGCGGCCTCTTCGGCTACTGGTGCTCGCTACGCTGGGGGCAGGACGTGCGTCACCTTGGGCTAGCTGCTCGCGCGCCTTCTCGAATTGGTTCCACGCCCGCAGTTCTTCCTGTGACTCTGGATCTTTCGGTGTCTTTGGTGGCTCGCGATGAAGCGTTCGATTCGTCGGTCGTGTAGCGGCGTTGGAGTTGCGGCGTCGACCGGTTACAACATTGTCAGTGGCGATTTGGAAGCGAGTGCCGGCTCCGGCCTGTCGTGCGACTCGCATGCGCTGCTCCCATCTACGGTCATCGCGTCGCGTGGCATCTGACTGGTTCTCAGACTGTTCTTCCTCGTCAAAGGGGAACTCGATGTCAAACTGCAATCGGTCCCAGACGCTCTGCCAGACGCCCACCCATTCGTCAGGGGCATGATTGTGACGCGGCACACGGCTCCGGCCGTTGATCCAGGCAGCGGGACCTCGTACTGCAGGTCGTCGTCGGGACGCGGCTTCCAGCAGACTAGGATTCTCAACACAGCCCTGGCAATACCAGGGCCCGCGAGATGGCATCCGGTCGAGTCCAGCACAGAAGACATGGCAGAGTTGTTCGCAGCTATGGCAGTACATGAGCTGCGATGCGTCGCCGAATTCATCACAGACCATGCATGCATCGTAGCTTCCGTCATCCTCCAGTATGTAGTCGTCGTCGATGATCATGGACGGATCGATATCGGCCACTTGCTGCTTGTCTTGCACGGCGTACTCGGATAGTTTGGGTCCTGGTGAGTTGTTAGTCGAAATTCCATGTCGACAGAGCCACCTTGTGCGGCAAGACATTGTAGGTTTGGGTAGAGGTCATGCTGAGCTTGACTGACCATTTAGCCAGTAGCTAGGCTACTATCAGCCAACAATAGCAGCGTCACAACCGCAGGGCTCCGTAGCATCCAGGACTGACATACCTCCAACGCGCGCGCTGAGCTCGACCATGTTGAAACTGGCTCGACATATAGGGCAACTGTTCGCTCGTTCGACCCAGGGCTTGAGGCACTCGTTGTGCAGATCGTGGCCGCATGGCAGTAAATGTGCGACCAAATCGTCCTCCTTGGTAGACTCTACGGCCGCCATCTTATCCTTGGCATGTGATTGGAGGTCGACATCAGCGCCATCCTCAAGCGGCATGGTCGCCAGCGATGATGCGGTGGCGGTAGGGCCGTCGTCGAGGGGGACGAGATCGCCGAGGCAGACTATACACGTCTCGGCCATTGGTGTGATGCTTGGAAGTGAAAGAGCGGAAGTACTCGTCGACGCGATTCATAAGTTGGGAAGATGATCAAGTCGAGAGAGCGGGGACTGTGGTTTAAGTAGCGGACGCTAGTGGCTTGGCCTGCAGCCACACTCCTAGGCAGTCGCAACCAACCCCGGAAACCCGTGATGTTTGCCAGGAAGAGGATGCCCAAGTGGAGACTAGTGGCGCCTTTGGTAGTGTAGAATGCGTGACGAGATCCAAAGCTGCTGCGGGCGGGCAGATGCTAGATGATCAGTCATTCTTCGCGCTTACCTTACCACGTGTTCGGGACCCGAAGGAGCAGTCCGGATGACTTGCGATGTCACCGAGTGGTTACCTATGGTGTAAATATGTTTCAGTTCAACCGCTTCGCTATCTCTTCAACTCTTGATTGTGTCAGATGCGCTGTGGTATGCATACGGAAGGCGCGCTTAGCCTCAAGGTGCTCGCATCGGTTTCCGTCTCGCGTCTATGGGGCATTCTGAAGTGGGAAGGCCGCGCATACAAGGCCGGACGGACTGGAGATCTGGACAATCTTATCTTCGCGAGAAGACGTCACTATGGAATGCACTGATAAGATAACGACAGCTGCTGAATCTGGTGTTGATGGGCCGAACAATGTGTCTGCAGCGCAAGCTCCCTCGGCGTATGGTGACGTGCAGCGCTACCAATGCCAGCCCTTGTATATTCGATACTGCGTTGGAAGACGACTCGAAAGTTCCGCCTTTGTACGGACAAAGTAAAGCAATGTAACGGGTCTTGTATTTCTACGTGTAGCGCCTCGGGCGACCTTGTAGGCGCCGGACGAGGATACCGCGCGACGCGGGCGATGTGAGTTCGCGGTATGTTTGCGGCGGCTTCTTGCATGTAGCTACCATCATCTTGAATCCTGCTGTCAGGTCTTCCTGTGAGATTTGCATATTAGCGACACTGCGAGAAACGTGGGTGTCGCAGAAAGCAGACCGCTTCATCTGCACTGTCGCGCTCCTCCACCAGGCTTCTCTGCCTTCATTGCCCGATCCAGAGAGATGACTCAGTCGTGCGATTGGAGTACAACAACTTGTGTGGAGGCCGAAAAGCCATTCAAGGATAGCGGTGAGGAATACAATTCATCGGCGTGGAGGGGCATTGCTCAAATTCAGCGTCTGTTGCCAAGGCGCTTAGAATATTTCGAGAATAGTGCATGTCCACATCGTGATCTATCCATGTAAAGGCTTACTCTGTACGTGGTATCGTTAGCTGGCGATCATTTATTATCTTGAGCTGTATTGTAGTGCAGCACTCGCGATGCGGCCTTCCTTCTTATGAGGCGTACTGCGAGCAGTGCAGATATTGTATCTACCGCGCACGCCGGCGCCTGCCTCGGCATGACCGCAGGCATCCAAAAGAAGGGTCTTGTCCGAGTCGCGTAGTATTCAATGATTAGGAATATCCCCTAGCTGCACCCCAATTGACGTTTTCCTGTCTCCTCGTCTCTTCTTTGCTCAATCACACACCCTCACCAGGATGGCTCAAGGATCGCGACAATATGAGCTGATCTTGCTGGGAGCAACCGGATATACCGGAAAACTCGTTGCGGAATGGGTGACTACCCATCTGCCGGATGATCTCAAGTGGGCTGTTGCTGGACGCAATGCGAAGAAACTGCAAGCTGTAGTCGACGAATTGACGAAGCTAAAGCCAGATCGCAAGCAGCCAGGTATGTGGCGACAGAATCTGCGTTACAAATATGTGACGGACAAAATCTGACGGGTCAGCTAACGAGACCTAGCTATCGAGACATGCGAGCTTGAGCGCCAACAGCTAGAAACGCTTGTTAAGAAGACAAAGCTCATCATCACGACGGTGGGCCCCTTCATGCACTATGGCGAGCCTGTCCTTGCCGCCTGTGTGAACAACGGCACACACTATCTAGACTCCACTGGTGAGGTGCCATGGATCTACGACATGGTTGCCAAATACGATGAGCTTGCGAAGAAGAACAAGACCATCGTCATCCCCGAATGTGGTCTCGACTCTGTTCCTGCAGACATCATGGCGTACGTCCTCGCACGCGAGGTGCGCAAGCGTTACGACGCACCCTGCGAGCGCGCCATCATGACACTCTACGACTTCAAATCTGGAATCAGTGGTGGAACATCCCTTACTATGCTGGAACTCTTCAAGAAATACTCACTCAGTCATCTCGGAAAGTCGATGCACCCATACTCGCTGTCGCCGGTTAGCGCAGACAACGTCGTCGCAGCACCGTCGGGACGCTTTCCATACAGTCTTTTCGGTCTACAAAGTATTCCTGAGCTTGGAGGCATCCAGACAACTGGGCTCATGGCAAGCGTCGATGTATGCATTGCACATCGCTCGTGGGGTCTGTACCAGTCTTCGGGTGACGACACCCTGCAATATGGTCCCAAATTCCGGTTCAACGAGTACGCGCGTGCTCCCAGCTTCTTTGTTGGGCTAGCACAGAAGGTCGTTCTTACTTCAGTCGCCGTCCTGCTTGCCATACCAGTAACAC